ACTTGGTCACATTCAGGATTTGTGAAACATCTTGAACTATTTTTCAAGAGTCCAGCAGATTCAAAATTACTTTTTCTAAACATTTTTCCCTTCATTTCAAAACCTATGTGTATTTTCAAGAAAACACAATCCTTTTGTTTTGGATTCATAACATTTAACTCATCCACATGCTCTGACCAAGAACAACGGCTGACATCTGCTAAGCTCTTCCGACAGAAGGCTACAGACACTGCCTCACTTAATCCCCTAAAGATCCTGTGAAGTGGGTCTCATTACCTTCTTGCTAAAAAGATGAGGAAACTGAGACTTTGGGAAGTTAATTTGCCCGCACTCACACAGCCAGTCCAGACCTGGTGCAGAACTCAGTCCAAGCCCTCACATCCCCAAACCTAACCAACCAAAGGTTGGTTCTCCTAACCAACATCCTATAATTTGGAATCCATTTTATCTGACAGCCCTTCCCATCCATCTGTCATGTGCCAGGAAACAAAATGTGGCCAAGAAAAAAAAAAGGGGGTGTTGAACATCTAAAGGCACAAGAAAACTAAAACTCACAGTCTACAGGGTACAAACTACTCACCCATTTCTGAGCAGAATTAAGTACACCCACGCTTACCATTAAAAAAAAAAAAATTCAGCGAGACAAGAGCTCATGGTGGAGAAGAGCCAATGAATTCCAAATTCCCAACAAAATTCTGAGCCACCTTACTCCCAGCCAGGAGACCAATTGCTATCACGATACACTGATAGGTGTTACTGGACAGTTCAAAAGAAAATCCCAGGGCCAGGAAATAACCAAAGGTCAAAGTAAAAAAAAAAAAAAAAAAAGTATCTCCTTACATATTTGCAGACCATAACACTCTCCCCTTACAAACCTTTAAGAGTCTTTTTTAAGCAGAGGAGAACCAAGTCCTTCCTCTTGAAAGAAGCAGAGTGAACACGGAACTTCCTCTCCATTACTAACCTATCAACTCTGGTTTCACATGCATCACCACTAGGATAATAATTTCTGCTTTCTATCACTTAAGGTATGTTCCCAATAACCATCAGAGCCAATAAAAGATCTCCAAGACCACGGCCTACATACGTTCATTATTAGGGCCTTTCTTGTTTTTAAAGCAGAATAGTAAGTTAATAAGAAAGATCAGATTACCCTTTTCAAAGAAAATCATAGGCTAAAAATGACATAAAACACTTCAAACTGAAAAGTCAGTTATTGCAAATCATGGAAGAAAATGTTACAGGATAAGGATAGTGTTTAAAACGCCAGAATATCTGGATTAAAAAACCATTTACTATTTACAAAACAGAACGTGCAGCTTTGAAAGCAATGAATCCATACCAGCAACAAACAGATTATTAAGGAATTTTACTTGCAGTGCTACTAGCATATTAACACATTTGGTGGTTTTTAAGTAAACAATGGCACCTAATATGTGGGCACTCACTGTATATGTGAAATATATTAGATGCCAAAAATAATCCTTCATTCACAATTGCACTTAACAAAAACTCAGAGAACTGAAAGTCTTTTCTTCTGTCATTTACGTTTACTAAATAACATTAAAGCTTAAAATCAAACACATGAAACACACACATTGTGGTTCCTGGGTAAGAATACTAAATGCTTTCTAGGTTGATATAGGCTCTTCAATGTTACAAAAAATCAAACGTGGCTTGTCTTTTTCCCCCATACAAGACTCAGAACAGCTTTTCGCTTGTGTGTGTCATTTTAAATTTCAGTGTTAAGAGTCAAATGCTTATTTAGAAGGCTGTTCAGTTTTTGAACCATACATTTGGGTTGTGCGAATGTGTGTGTTTAAACAAAACTCTGTATGAATGTTATTCTAGGACTAGATACTCAGCTGAGAAAACTAAGAAAACAGATGTGTAAGGACATGCAGTGGAATGTGTGTGGTTTGGCTAGAAGGTTCACAATCGGGAACAAATCGTAGCACATAATGGCTGAAAAAGTTAATTAAGTCAACCTAACACAGCACCAATAACAAAATTTTTTTGTTTGCTTGTTTTGTTGGATTTTAATCATGAGATTGTGGAGGGGGGGTGGAATGCATGTATTACATCCATTTGGTTCTTGAGGCTAAACTCATCTTTAGCCATTCATGGACAAATCCCTGAATTTCAGAGCTTTGTAAAGAAAGCCCAAGAACACCCCTGGACATAGCAGCAATTAGTACTAGCTACGATAGGATGGACATGATCTTAATGTGCGTTGTGTGAACGGCTTCAGTGCAGGTATCCAGGCACCACTGAAATGTTCGGAAAGAGAAAAGAGAGAACAGGAGATAGGGCGGACAAAAGAACTGATGATCAAAGCCATGGCAGCCACCTGCCAGCAATACCCAGCACACCAGCAGCCCCACGTGCAGGAAAACCCAAACCAAACCTGGACCGAACCCTGCCAACCTCCCCCACCCTACCCCCCCTACCCCCCCGCTGAGCTGGATGACCCCAGCCAAGTGTGGAGGGAAGCAGGAGACCAGGTAGGAGTCTGCAGAACAAAAAACAGGCTGGGTCATTCCAGCCCCTGGAGCAGGATCCTGGGACTACAAAGAGGCTCTGAACTAGTTAGGAAAACCTGTGAAGGACCCTGGTACAATTATTAGCATTGCTCACGCAGAGCAATCATGAACCAAAAGGTTTTTGTTCTTGTCTTTAAATTTGCTTTCCGGTTTTCCTGGAATCTTCCAGGAGAACTGCAACCCATGCATAAAACCACCACTTCCATTTCTCTTTTACTTGGTGGGGTCTTTATATTATCCCAAAATAAACATTTAATAAAGCCCTTAGGAGAAACAGGAACACTGGGAACATAGAGCTGGCCGGGTTAGCAGGACAGCTCTCCTTCAGGCACTTGCCCTGCAAACCTCATGAGCATTTGCCCCAAACAGGACAGGTTTTACGCTCAGGAGGCCACGTGTGTTTCAAGGACACAAGCCAATGGGGCCAAAAGCTAGGAGAGTTTGGTTCAGGATCCGTGATTACTTCAGACGACAGGACCAACTTCGTGAATCATAACTGCTCCTTCTCTGGCTAATGTTCTCTAGGGACTGCTTGGCTCCCACAGGGCTGGTTAGGTTGGTTCTGTTCTGAGTCCCCCTAACCAGGTTCATGAGAGGACCTCGTGGTCAGTGCGGCTCGAGACAAACTCAGCGGCACCAAAACCCTCCCAAAGCACGTGTGGGAGGAGCAGGAGTGGCGGCACCTTCAACGGGACAGACCCACCTCTGCGGGACAGACCGACCTCTGGGGGAGGCTGCTGAAATTCCACAAGGACAGTGCCTTCCAGAGGGTCCACAAGGGCAGCCAACGGACACTCGTTCTCACCTGTGCTCACACCCACATGCACACTCCTATACACTCATGCTCGCACATACCCACACACTTCTGCACACCCTCATACCCGCTCATGCACACACAAGCTGTAGATAACCAAAAGCTCATGTTTCGCAAAGCGTTATACCCAGAAAGTGCTCATTCCTACAACATCACTATTAAAAATTATCAAACAACCTACCCTGCATGTACTGATTCTATTTCTGGAATAAGAAATTTGCCTAATTTTTATGAATTCCAGGGAAAAAAAGAAACAAGGGTCACGTGATGTTTTAAAAGGCGAAAACAGGGCTTCTTTAACCACACTGGAAGAATAACACAACTATCCAGCTCCATTAAAATAAGATCCAGTCCGGACTTTAAATACCACAAATAAAGGGAGAAATAGGGACAAATTTCCACATGTATGTAAATTCATTATTTTAACTCAGACATAAATATATGTCCCTGAGGATCAATTCAAAACTGGACTCATTAGCAGCAGATTTAACACCAGTCCCTCCCGTGGCCCAGCCAAGCCAGCAACGCACACTGGTGACATCCAGGAAGGGGAGCCTCGGACAGGGATGGGCACGGGGAACAGGGGCCAGGCTCCTCGGTGTCAGCTTGGACAAGGCCACAGTCAGGAAAGGAAGGTGCAGTTACCTTCCAAAGTAGATTCTGACTCTCCAGTTGTATGTAAAAAAAAAAAATTATAAGTCAACCTAGTAAAGTCTTTCTTGGAATAAATAAAAGCCCATAGGGAGGGAGGGAGCAGGTTGGCTCATGCAAATCAGGGTGCCCAGATGTGCAGTGCCCTAAAGGTTGGAGAAAAGACCAGCTCATTCTTCTCAAGGGCACATGGAAAAGTGGAGGGTGGTGGGAGGAGGCTGGGGAGGCTATGAAATCTACAAAAAGCAAAGGCACCTACTGGCCTAGGACAGTAGAAAAGAGGGAAAAGGAAGCGGTCACCATTAACCTGTTCAGTCTGGTTTTTTCCAGAGGGGGGCTCTGGAATTTGTTTGCAATGCTCCCTGTTTGAATTGAAAGGCCTCTCAACACTGTGCTTAAAATATTAAAAAATATATATATATATAGCACCCAGAAACAGCAGCTAGGTGTTATCTGTGAACACAATTCAGTCCATTTTTATAAGCCAACAGCCAAACCTGCGTCTCAGATACCAGTGTTACCTTGAGGTCCAACCATTAACAACTTTTAAAATCCTTTCGAATGAACTGCACAGAGTTGGTGGGGGAGGCAGGGATCCTCTCACCAAATCTTGACAAGGCAACTTTTGTGTCTTTTGTAATAACTAATAACTAATTATTCCAACTAGTGTAGACTTTCCATGTGAAATGCAAAGTATTTTGAACTCCTGCCAGACTAATCAAGATGATTTCCAAAATGCCACAACAGGAACTTCCTATAATAAATAACCTATCACATTTACATCTCAAATTAGAAAATTTGGAAGAAAACATGTAGTTTTGGTGCCAAAATAGAGCTCACTAAAACCTGCCCATCCCGCACCCCCCTTTTGCTTTCTTTAGCCTCTAAAGGAACAAACCCTGGTCCAGGTGCAAATGTTCAATGGACAAGGAAGGCAGAGAACACAGAAATGACTCTAGGCTCGGATGCTGGTAATGCCCACAGCTGCTCACCATTGGAAGTGGTGCTGGAGGCCACGGCTTTCTCACTGACATCTCGCGAGGAGCATTTCACTATGGAATTCTCCACTTTCTTCTTCTCAGTGGTTGTGGAGCTGTGGGACTGGGCCTCCATGATGCCTTCTCATTACTTCAGCTCTCTGCTACCAGGAATGCCTAAAACAAAACAATAGCGCCATCAACTTCCAGGAAGAGTGGGCAAAAAAAAAAAAAAAAAAATCTCACTTAAAAGCCCACTTCACCTGTGGCCTGAGGAGGGGTCTAAGAGCTTTATTTAAGGAGTTCGAAATCTGGAAGACCCTTGCCCACAACTTTTCTTGCAAAAATACCTCCAAGTTGTAATAACAAGCCAGTCAAGTTCTGTCCGACACATGCAAAAGGAGAAGGCAGGGAAGTATCCATAATGTGAGACTTTTCCCAAATTCCTACTGGGCATTTGTTATAAAGTGGTCTGAAGATCTCAATTTTCAGCTGTGTTTATGGTGTGAAACCCAAGGGTCGCATTACTCTTGTAAGCCACATCTACAAGTGTCTCTTCAGGAGGCCAAATTTATAGGGAGGGGCATTGCGATAACTTTCCAAAAGGGGAAGGTTTTTAAGTATTAATTAGGTGTTTCAAAGAGCATGGCCATTTCTCAAGCCCAGGGCCAGCTCCACTTTTGGAAACAGAGCGTGATGTGGGCCAAGAAGCTCGTGATGTCTGCTGACCTGATATATCTGAATTGCAAAATGCCCCTTCATCCTAATTCACCGAGGTAAACCGTACTCTTTAGGCTTTCTTAAGACATGAGAACGTTTCAATTCATTTGTGCTACATTATTAAAACCAACAAAGGCAACAGAACAACATGCTCTGGATCCCACAGGAAAAGTCAAAAGATTGCTGAGAGCAAAGACTGGGACCGCTTAAGAAATACGAACACCCAGCTACAGGCAAGTGCCCTGACTCCTCTCTTTGGTTCTTGTTTTTGTTGTTTTTTTGTTTTGTTTTGTTTGTTTGTTTTTGCAGTCATGAGTTGCACCTGCAAAGACTGCAAGATGAAAAGTGTCCTCTCCAGCATGTTTTCCTCAAGCTGTCTAGATTGCAACACTCATGGTGGGCATTAGCAGACGCCACCATGTTCAATCCAAACAACGATTACTGAAATAAAACAAGCAACTGCTTAACCGACTAAAAGGGTTAAAATACCAGATGAAATCTTTTTAGTCATCCTTAACTCAAATTTGCAAGGGAATTGAAAAGTCTTTCTTTATTGTATGAGAAATTCTCCCCTTGGTCTGGAATTCAAGTAACTAGAAAAGCTTAAGATCCAGAGGCTGCCGGGCACAAAGCAATAAACCCTCCAAATACTCATATATCTCTTCTGCTAACCCCCATTTGTTTGCCTTGATTATCCACTGTCATTCATTGTAAAACACACAAGTTACTTAAGAACAGCTTTTCTAGAATAAAAAAAGAAAAAAAGCAGCACTGAGTTAAATTTGCATATCAATTGTGAGATCCACTCCAAATTCTGAAACATCTGTCAAAGAGCGCTAACAAAGTACCACAGTAAAGGAGCTGCTGATCCTCCTTTCACTGGGCTGAGGCCAGGCGCTGGTTCAGAGGCCAGAGCCTCTTTAGAGGCTGCTACCTGAATGGCGCCCCCTGGGGTTACCCCGCATTTCAGATCTCTCATCTGTCACATGATGGAATCACACCTTGGGATCTGGGACTTAACCTTGGGGGAAGGTGGGTACAGTCCTCTTTAAGATGTTAAAAGTTATGGATCCTCTCCCCAGAAAAATACCCTTCAACACACACCAAAGAGTGTACGTTTGATTTCCAAGGGATCACGGGCCCTCCAAGCTCTTCCATGAATACAGATCGAGAACCTGTATGCTCCCCCCAAAACTGATGTTAATATCATCTTTAAAGTATGCCACAAGAAGGTTTAACCCAGTCCAGAGCACTGATTCCCAAGGTCAGACAAGAGCCACCTGGATCAGCCTTGCTACAGTGCTTCCAAGACATTCGAATTCCCAGGTCCAATCCCTGACATCTCGGAGGTAGCCCCTGGAAACTTTAGCCAGCACTGGTAAGCATTAGGCTCAGCAAAGCTTGCAGACAACTGTTCCACACATTTCTGTTCACCGCTATGTGTCCAGTGCAACAGGTACCCACTGAAGTTTTTGCCAACTGGATGAAGAAATGAATGGGTGGCAGCCCAGACTACTGAATTTCAACAGCCTGCCATGAGCCTTTCCCAACGCCCATCACAATAATGAAGTCATCTTCCAGAATCTTTCCTGAATGGCTTCATGGCCAGCTTCCCCTCCAGATCCTAAGCTCCATGAAGACAAGCACCATGGCTATCTTCCTAGCACCTCATACCCATAAGAATGTTTACCGAGTAAATAAACGATCCTGAGATGACCTGGTGACCCGGACAATCCTGCAGTGTCTTCAATCTTAATCGCCATTGATTCCGCTACATATCTTTTCTTTCATATCCAGTGTTTCTTTGAAAACTGACAAATTATACAAAAACTAATCGTTTTCAACAGGAATATTTCATCGAAACACTCCATTCACAACCATTTTGGATAAACAGGCATTTACTATAATTGTTTCCCTCAAAACCCACATACGGTTTTATTGGTCGAATTTGGATGGAGTTTGCTAAGTTAAAACTGCACATGGAAACAAGCCAAGGGACCAGGAAAAAAAAAAAAATGAAGGGATAGGATTCCTTCCTGGCTAAGAAATAAGTCTGTCCGTTAGTAGAGGGAGCTAATTAACAGTAGTGAGGTGACAAGTCACCAAAGTTCCTTGAGAAACTTGGGTTTTGTGGAGTTGTTGGTTTTTCCCCCAAGCAAAGGACTTCGTTTTAACAAAGCAATAAACCCTCCAAATACTCATCACCAGAGAGAGAGGTTCACGTGAGAAGAGGTAAAGCCCCAGGCACTGACTGAAATTGCACTAATTAATGGTCTTAGAGAATACCAATTCCTACCCCCTCTCCCTGTTCGAAATGGATTTTTTTTAAAAAATGGGCCCTTGGTCACTCAAGAATCTACCCCCTTCTTCTATTTTGACAACTTATTTTTGGATCTCATTAGTTAGTAACTAATTATTTAAAAGTGTGGTTTATGCTTGGAACAGGGCTATAAAAATGGCAACTTGCCAAGGTAGACATCTGCTTCCTGTATATCCCTATAAATTATATCAGCTTATTTTACTGATAAAAACACAACTTTGTCCCTGTCAGTTACAAAGGGGAAAGTTTTAACATTCTAGGCTCTCACACCTCATCAAAACTATGCATGAAGAGTTAGCAGAAGAGGGTCTGCTTCTAGCAGTAGGGGGAGGTTGGTTTTTCTTTTTTTTTTTTTTTCATAGAACATTAAGCCCAGTTTGGAAACTCAGTCCTGATTTGATATTTGAAGGTGTGAGGTACAGAAGTGTCCAGTAAAAATTCCTTGTGGAATCTTCAAGCCTACCTAACTGAAGCAGTGGCCCACAGTACTATTTTTAAAACCTGGGATTTCTTAAATAAAGTATAATTTATTTAGAACATAAGTTGCAAGGAAAACTTTTTCAGTTCTGCTTCACTTCAAAGATTTTTCTCTGAGGAAAACATGCCACTGGTTTTTAGACGGGAATGAAAGGTGACTTTCCCCACCCCGCCCCCACCACGTTTCCTCCTCTCAGAACTCCACACTGTTCCTCAGCTCCTTCCACCACATGCAACATTACGTGCAAGATTTGCTGGCATGCCCCTTGACTTTTTATGCTTATGGGGAAAAGAAAAAAGAGAAAAAATTTTTTTGTAGCTGATGTTGGAAGTCCCAGCAGCTTGAATAGATGAAAAAACAAAACAAAACAAAAAAACAACCAAGGAAATCTCTGATAGTGCAGACCTGCTAGAGCATGAAGTTGCATAGGTAAATGAAGGGATAAAAATTCCTTCCTGAAAGCAGTCCTGGCTTTTCCCCATTCAACCGTCCCTTGAACCTTTTGTAATTTCCCGGAGGCCTAAACCCAGGGCACAATTAATTCCAGACCCTATTTTAAACCTAATCCTTCGCCCACTAGCAACCTGCCTGCAGGTGGGTCTTTCCTCTCTGAATTAGAAATCTGAACTTGCATCAACCTCCTACTGCAGGAGAAAGCATCTAAAGCTTGCTGGAGGCCCTGACCAGGTGACGGTGGAGTTAGTGCAAGGCTCCATTTGAAAGTCAGTTCAAGAAAGACGCCAACAGACCACACTGGGCAATTCTTGGGGGGACTTACATTTGAAACGGCCCTTTCGCACAGAAAGCCTCCAGTGGCCCTGTCTTTAGAGCTGCCGTGAAAAAAACCAAACCAAACCCCAGGAACTTCATCACGGCAAAGAAGAGTCCCCGTTCTTATTATAATAGTTCTCCAGGCTGCGGGCCGGGGTCCTTTCGAGAGAGCTCCCGGGCTCGGCTTGCGCCCCCACGCCCGCTGACGGTTCCAGCCAGGCTGCCAGTCCTCACTCCTGTCCCGCTTCCCCGCGCCGC